GAATGAATGAATGTTTGGTGGATTGATGGATGGCTGGATGGGTGTGTGAATGTATGAATGTATGTCTTGGTAGATGTGTTGATGAGTGTTGTTGTTGAATGTTTTTTGTTGTTGTGATAATGGTTCTGAAGAGATGGAATAGTTTATAGTTGATGTTTTGATGTGAATGTGGGTAAATTGTTGTGATGGTGATTAGTGTTTAGTGTTGCTGGTGTGTGTTTAGAATAGTTGATCGTTGGATGGATTGATGTATGGATGTGTGTGTATGAATTGATGGACTTTAGTTTGGACTATGTATTTCGTGTTTTTGGATATAGGGATTATGTTAGTGATTTGAATTTGTAATTTACTCTGTGTGTGTAGGATGGATAACTTATTCTGAGATACATATTTGGTGTTTTCGTTTTTGCGATTGAGATATTAGGTATTTGATAAGTGGTTTGTACGTTGCTTTTTCTCTGAGCTTTAGTCTCTTTGGGATTTTTTTCATTTTATCTTTTTTCTGTATTGTGTTTCCCGAATGTTTTGTTTGGGCTTTTTTGGAGCTTTCATTTTTGTTTTTTTTTGAAGTGTTTGCTTACTAACGAATTTTGTTCATTGCGATTTGTCTTTTTTGTTGTTTCTTAAAGTTTATCATGTCAGTTCTTTTTCTTTTTCTGATTGTTAGTTTTACTGTTATGTTATATTCTTTTTTACTGATTATTCGATTCATTTCTCTCGCTTATTATGTTTACTTTTCGTTTGCTTGTTTTCCTGTGATTGTTTTTTTTGTGGTTTTCATTGTTTTCTTTCTTTTAATGTTAGGAAATTCTTCATGCCAATCCTAGGTTTCATGGTATTCTTATAGGCCGACACGCATCGAATATAACGCAGTTTCGTCGCCGTCATAATGTTGAATTGGTGTTCCCTGATCGTTTGAATCTGACCAAAATTGGCTTGTGAAATCCGAATTGTTGGTACGAAATCTGCGGTGTCGGAAGCGAAACGTGAATTAGAAAATGTTTTAAAATCTTTGGTAATTATACACGATTATCGATTTTTATCTGCATTTATTGCGAATACTAATGTTTTTTCTTACGAGGATCATTTTGTTGCTTTTATAAGTGGTTTTTATTATGAAATGAATTGTAGAGATAAACCGTTTTCTGTTTTTAGATCCTCCTTATGTTTGAGAAAATCTGATGTGATTGGTCAAAGTGTGAAGGTCTACACATTCTGCTGTCGTAAATCTTGCAGACTGTTACTTTTAGTGTAGATTTACTTTGTGTTGACCGCTTGAAATTGATTTCATTAAACTGTTGGTCTGGCTGATGATCTGTTTCTCAGTCATTGGTTGGACCCTGTATATCTGAGTTCACATAATCACTTATGGTATTCTATTGCTAGTGTATCGATCAAGGACCGATCTAGCGATCTCGTGCCTGATCGTATGTCTCCATTGACCTCAAATGCCCTGGTACGGTCGAGAGTGTGGAGAGTCCTCTCTTCCTCTCGAAATGCTCTCACATGGCCACGCGTATATAGCCTCTGTCAGGGAAGTCCTACTCACTGCCTTCTCGTGGCGGGGGTGTTGTTTACGAAATTGAGAGAACGTAAAGCGAATGTCCGGCGCTTTAACCGGGTTGGTGGACATGGCGAGTCCACCGAGGGTAGTTGGAAAACCCTGATTACAAACCAATGGTGCACGTGGGTTCCAGGATCCTAAGGAAACAAATAGCGTATGAACCAATCGTTGGTCACTTGCTACCATGGGACTGCATCTCCTTAAGATGCTCCACTGCCTTGTGATCAGACGTTCAGGTCGAAGGCTCCTGGTTTGGGCACCCGAGCAGTATCACAGCCCTCACACATATCAAATGAGATTTATGTGGCGCATATGTATCTGGTACCCTCTTGTACCAATATCTATGTGTTAAATAAAATAAAATTGTTATATCCGAGTGGAGATTAAATTACAGGTAACTTCCGAGGACTATTCATGGACTAATATTCTTTTTTTTATTATATTGTATAACTACTCAACAATTACACTATGTATATTTATATCCCTCTTATGACAAGCTTTATTTTGGCCTATAATTTATTATTGTACGATTTACGGTTCTTAAGTTATGTTCAGTTTATTAACTACTGCCTCCCACATTCACAGCCACTTTTTGGGCTTATTTGTGTACAAATATTATTTCCTATTTTATGGTACGTTGCGGTCTGTGTGATTGATATATAAACCAAGTATGCCTGAAATAAACGATCTGCTCTGATTCGGAAGCTGGTATCTTGTTCTGGACTCAAGTGGAAGGGCTCGTAGGACATAGGACCAATAAGGACGCTAAACTGCCCACACCGGTTGAACGTCATTGGTTGGCCTAGTGTGAAGATTCGTATAAGTCGTATTCGGATTGGTAGATAAGTCGTGTGATCGAAAAGTCAGACATCCAAGGTCATAACAATTGGCGACGGGGATTTTGGCAACAAAGAAATAATAATAATACAAGTGGTGACTCAGATTTTGGAAATAAATTAGCTGTATAATTGCCGGTGATTTTTGGAGCTAATATTATTGGCAAAAAAAAATGTCGATTTCTTTCGAACAGTTGCGGTTAATATTACAGCACCAGCAGAAGATGTTTGCCTTGCAACAACAGCTATTTGTAACAGTTTTGGGCAGACTTTGCATTCAAGCAGAAAATAAGAAATCTATATATCATGCAGATAATGGTGCAGTAATGGACATTTCAGAAGCATATCCTGTGCAGGATTCAAATCCTTCTATACCAGAAGGAAAACGTAATATTGGTAACGTGTCCAGCTCAGAGCAAGAAAATATTGTGCTAAATGCACATGAAGTTGTGACAATACCAGATGATCAGGAGCCAGATCCTGTAGATGATGCCCAGAGTCCAGAATCAAATGAAACACTACTGGTACTGTCTAGCTGCGAAAATAAACGTCAGCTCGAACAAAATTGTGGTCCACGTGCTACTAGTCGAGAAAGCTATGGTGACTCGTATTCAGAAAATAACTGGAGCAACACGATGAACCAAATTGTACCAGATGTTACTCAAAATCACCGGAAGACAGAATTTTATATTGAGTCAACTTATCCCATTTCTAATGACAGTGTGCCAGATATTGATTCTCAGAATAATGCATATGATTTTGATGAAACTTCTTATAACAATGAGGGAAATATGTCAGCTGAGTCGAATGATGGCCAAAAATCTAATTTAATTCTGTTAGACGTTGACTTTCTTAATGACTCGTTATCTGCTAACGAGATTCATAATGAATTTGAAAATAATGAACTCAGATCAAAGGTCGTTCATCATCATCTAGTCATTTTTAGTGGATTCTCCAGTCAATACGAGAAACATGGTTTAAATAAAGTCCTACTAGTTGTATTTTGGAGCCATAAGGACCCAACATTATTTCGAGGAGGAGGAGAATGTTGAGGAATTTAAAGTCACATATGATTCTTTTTTTTAATCAGAATCTAAAGTTGGAATTTTCAAAAAAAAAAGGGGAGGTGTTATATCCGAGTGGAGATTAAATTACAGGTAACTTCCGAGGACTATTCATGGACTAATATTCTTTTTTTTTTTTTATTGTATAACTACTCAACAATTACACTATGTATATTTATATCCCTCTTATGACAAGCTTTATTTTGGCCTATAATTTATTATTGTACGATTTACGGTTCTTAAGTTATGTTCAGTTTATTAACTACTGCCTCCCACATTCACAGCCACTTTTTGGGCTTATTTGTGTACAAATATTATTTCCTATTTTATGGTACGTTGCGGTCTGTGTGATTGATATATAAACCAAGTATGCCTGAAATAAACGATCTGCTCTGATTCGGAAGCTGGTATCTTGTTCTGGACTCAAGTGGAAGGGCTCGTAGGACATAGGACCAATAAGGAAGCTAAACTGCCCACACCGGTTGAACGTCATTGGTTGGCCTAGTGTGAAGATTCGTATAAGTCGTATTCGGATTGGTAGATAAGTCGTGTGATAGAAAAACCAGACACTCAAGGCCATAACAAAAATAAATGTATTGTCAATTATCGTATTATCTCTCATCTTTTATCCGATGTCTCAGTGATAGGATTGAATATCTCTCATACCACTACTACACTTGGTCGTTACAGTTTCAAAATTACTATCATTTGTCTTATTTCATACTTAGGTGGGTTATCATTGTAAACTGCATTACATGAAATCAATTATACATTAGATACTTTAGTCTGTATTGTGAAATTTCCATTAAATTTCTTTAATTGTAATTAATGGGTATGGGAATTCTATCAGCTCTTTTTTCATAACTCCAGTATGGAATATATTGAAGATTGAATAATAGACATGGTCGCACTCTTATTCAGTCTCCTCTCCGGAGATTTAGTTCTTCCCGGGAAAAGTAAAATCAGTTACTGACTGTATACGGCCTAACATGTGATGGCATTCAAACTCAATTTCAGGGGCAGAGAGATGTTACCACTGACCTAATCAACCTAGATTAGATAATCTCATTTACGAGGTACGAATTTTTGTACTTGATTTTGAGCCACAATCAAAGTGTAGAAGCTATTCAGACTTACCAGTTGCACAAAACGTAGTTGGTGGCATGAAGTTCGGATCTGAGACATTATCTGTAAATCAAGTCCCCATGCAATTAACTACCGCTTTATGCAAAGCATTCAATGCTCACGGGCATGTTTAAACACGTTTAATGTGAAACCAAACCTTTTAAATTACTATATCATTGTGTACTATTTTATTTCCGTATCTTTTTTATAGGAAGATGAAGTGGAAAAATCAATTCCAGTTGATCCATCTATATTGAAAGGAATTAACCAGTATCGTCGTAATTTCCCCAATCCCGATTTAGAAACTGTCCGTGTAATAATGCCCGTTACAATAATCATATACAATCCAATCTGGAAAATTCAACTGAACATTCCACTGAACCTTTGTATATTAAATTAATTGGCTCCAAAGCTTGTGTTGAAGTATGTTTGTGTGTGTGTATTATTTAAATGTGTATCACACCGTACAACTCTTATTTTTAAATAAGAACTTTCGTCTAAATATGATCGAATAGTTTCACAGTATTTGGGCGCCGAGTTAATCTGAGACATTAAAGAGGAAGAATTTATTTGTAAAACCTCAGAGATTTTACAAATAAGTTCTTCCTCTTTAATGTCTTATTTTTAGTTCATATATTGTAGGTCTTTTTTCCAACAATAATAATTTACAACAAATTTTTTATATTCGAACATGCTGAACAGTTCACAACCAGTTATATATTGCTTTTACAATCATTATTTTTTGTAGTTTATATCACGGGCTGATCTTAGTTAAAAACTTGGAAACACTAAACGGACGTCTCATCCTAGTGTAAGACAGGCCCCGAAATGCCCCGGTATGGATGATATTGACTATAGTCCCTTCCTTTTATATGGCCACACGTTTATAGTGATTGCCAGGGAAGTTCTCCAGAGTACCTTCTCGCGGTGGGGGTATTGTTTACGAAATCAAGAAAACGAAAAATGAATATCTGGCGTTTAGACCGGGTGCGTGGGTATGGAGGAACAACCTAGGATAGTTGAAGCCCTGATTCCAAACCAATGCACTCAATGATCCTGAGGGAACAAATGAACCCATTCTTGGTCACTGTCTACCGTGGGACTGCATCTTCTAACATTGCTCCACTGCCTTGTGGATTAGACCTCCGGCTCAATGCTTGAGGAATGGCCCTCCAAGGAAACTACCTGTTTCTTTTCTGACATCCAGTCAGTATCCCAACCCAAATACAGATTCAGTGATTTATGTAGAGCGTATTTGTTTTGGTGCTTCTTTGTGTCAACGTTTATGCGTCTATATAAATAAATAATTTTAGTTGCTCGTAATTCTCTACGGATTACTAAACTTATTACATATATATATTAATTATTGACTGTGAGTAGATTAATTTAGTTAGTTTTGCAACAATACTCTCTCTTTTTCACTTTATATTCAATTGAGGTAATTACATTAAGTGTAAGGGTCGTCATCAGAGCACATTCACAACCCTGACCCAAGAAATCAAACCCAGGACCTTCGGTCTCACACGCGAACGTTCAACTTTATTTTTTGTCCCATCAGCTGGATAAACAAGTAAGGAGTAGGAAGGGTGGGGAAAAAGGATATTGCAGTAAATTTTCATTTACTTGCTATTAAATTTAATAACAAACAGGTCGATTAAGAGTTATTTTTCTTATCTTTGGTATCGATTCCTCTAAGCGATCCGTTACTTTTGACACTAATGACTTATTTTTAAGCTATATTAGTTGTCTTTAGAATTTTCGCAAACTTTGAAGTAAAGCTTCGATCGTATTATCACCTTGTAATTTATTGAATATTTAGTATTTAAAGAATTATCGGAGGCATACGATGCTTAAACATAATATACTTCATAGTGCATTTATTATGTCCCTAATACTACTCTGACATTTGTCTTGATAATTTCATTTCGCCGTATTGATATGGAGTCACATACATCGCAACATACATCCTAGGTCTAACGTTTCTTATGATTGACTAACTGATTTGTGTATCAACTCTTGTCCAAATAAATGTAAATATATATTTATCGATATTTTCTTTTCTAATTAATAAAATAAAAGACTGCAGCTCAAATTTTGCAACAAATTATCAAAGATATGCAAGAACAAATAGTTCAAGAATTTCCTTTCACTGATCCTAGTCATATTTCTGTATTGGAACGTCATCGTTCGCATCTGCCGGAACTCGAACGATTATATAGAGTGCAGATTAGATTTAGTCGTTCATTTGATAATTCTGACTTCGATAGTTATTCAACATTTGATGAGAGATCAGTTAATCAATCAGGTAAATGTTTATAATTTGTAATTTTGTTCTCATTCGTTTTTCTTTTCTTCTTAAATGAAACCCTCTATAAGTAATAATAATAATAATAATAATAATAATAATAATAATAATAATAATAATAATAATAATAATAATAATAATAACGCCTCGATCTTTCACCATCTTTCCTTCTCTGTGTCAACATAACCATTTGATTATTAAAAAGAATACTAGGTTCAATACTAGTTTAATTCCACATTGGATGGTCACCAAGTAATGACCATTGTCATGTTTTCCTAGTAATTAGTGCTGCTCGAGTTGCAACTGGATCAATAGAATTCGATTAGCACTAAGGAAAAGGTAAGCATGACTTTGACCACTACTTGTTGGTTAATCAATTGTAAATTCCTCAGTCCTACAGGAGTTCAGTCTCTGTCTAAATAGTCCAGAGGGTTATATCTCAGCGTGTTGGAGTGGATGATGATGCGGGTTCGCATCTCACAAAGAACATTAGTTCCCTAAAGATGACAACTATTTCGAAACCTAGCTCAAACAAAGTTTTCTATCTATTAATTTCATACACTCAACATATTTCAATTCTTCTTAGATAAAATTACAAATAAGTGTGATGCTAAATTAAGCAATCTGAAGTAGTAGAAATAATAAATAGTCATAATCAATTATCAATTGGATTTAAAACAATGAATTATAAGTTCAAATTGTTTCTCATCTATTTTAATTTGAACAGTTGCGTCTCAGAGTTGAGTTCATCAATCAGTCATTGTTTGTTGGGTTACTTAATATTTCTTAAAAAAGAAATAAATACCAAATTTGTTTAGTGTATTTCCATTGTCTATTGATTACTACAACGTGTTCAAGTAGTTACAGCTTATGTAGTTGTATTCCTCGTATGACGTGCATATCAGTATATGTCATACATTTACTTTACAGAAGTTGGAAAGAAGTTAGAGGTGGTCAAACCAATACTTGACATGAGTTCGGGGGATAAGTCTACTTCCCATTGCGTCCAAGCTATTGACTTCCGTCATACTTCGTAGGTTGTTCAAAACCTGAGAAAGATTGACTCGCGGGGAGCAGGCGGGTTTTCTTTCTGGTCGAGAGTGTATTGATCATATTTTCACCCTCCGCCAAATGTTAGAACACCGTCATACTTATCAAAGACCAACAGTCGTAGTGTTTCTTGACATCAGGGTTGCCTTCGATTTGTTGGACAGGACTGTTCTCTGGGATTGTCTATTGAAGAAGGGTGTGCCTGAGAAGTTTATAAACATCTTAAAAGCTCTATATACAAACACCTCAGGCAGAGTGAGGGCATACAACTACCTCTCTCCATTGTTCTATTCGCACAGTGGGGTTAGACAGGGTTGCCCAATCTCACCATTCCTCTTCAACTTTGCCATCGATGACACTCTGGAAACAGCTCTGATGAATGTAAGTAATGGTGGTGTGGATCTGTTGCCTGGAGAAAGACTTCTCGATCTTTGAGTATGCGAATGATTTTGTCTTACTGTGCGATAATGCCCAAGGCATGCAATCCGCACTTAATCAGTTGGCAATCAGTGTCCGTAGTTATGGTTTGTGCTTTAAACCTTTGAAATACAAAGTACTTCTACAAGACTGGCAGGACCTTGATCCTGCACTCACCCTGGATGGTGAGCAGATAGAAGTAGTTGAGAAGTTCGTGTATCTAGGTAGCTGCATAAGTGCTGGTGGTGGAGTGAGTGATGAGATCAATGCACGTATAGTGAAAGCCAGAGCAGCTTATATCAATCTGGGCCATCTATGGCGCCTTCGTGATGTTAGTCTGACTGTAAAAGGTCGAATCTACGACGCGTTGGTGAGAGCAGTTTTGCTCTATGCTTGTGAAACCTGGCCTCTCCGAGTTGAAGATGTTAGACGACTCTCTGTGTTTGATCATCGTTGTCTCTGAAGGATTACTGCCATCCAGTGGTAGAGGTTCGGCATCGTGTATCCGGCGCAGAGACGATAATTCAATCGATGTCACTATCTTGAAACATCGAATTCGATGGCTTGGATATGTCCTACAAATATCGTCCCAGAGAATTCCACGTCGTGCATTATTTGCCGACTCTGGGGCTGGTTGGAAAAAGTGGAGAGGTGGTCAGTGTTTGACATGTTGTCATGGTATGAAAGAAAGCTGTACCGGACTTGGTTCTATTGATCCTTCGCGATTCCCTAGTTGGGGTCCTAAAGATGGTGCAACACAGTAGCTAGAGACGTTATCAGATATGACTCAGAATTGAAGCCAGTGGCGATCCTGCTGTAACTTTATTTTACTTTCTTCATAAAAAATGGACGTAACTTCTTTGACTGGGAGAATTCTTTCTGGTTGTAACTTTGTTAATTGAACTGCTTCTTCCAATATTATTATTATTTCACTCTCATACGCTAATTTATGTTCGTTGTTGTTCACCTTTTTTTCTTATGCACACCTTACATTCTCTATCTCTTCATATTCTCAGTGTTGTTGTGTGGCGCATATGTATTTGGTGTCCCTTTGTACCAATGTTTATGTGCTTAAATAAATATATAAATAAGGTTCATTCACTCTTTATTTTTTTTAGAATCTAAGTCCCGAAATATCTGTTTACCTTTTTTCTTCCACTTATAGTATCACTACTAAGAGATTTTGTTACTACTCTTTCAACTCTTGGATGTTTCTTAATAGCTTTATCTCGTGCTAATATGGTATGAAAACTTGAACCGATGCAGAAATGTGTCAAGCTCTACATTTCTAATACTGGCTGACACACTTGCATTGGATATTATTATAAATTTATCATTTTTCCTGAATTCACTTTTGTAGTTATTACTCTTACGAAACAATGAAACTTTTCTCGTAGTGATATACATCGATAATTACGATGGTTGTGCATTATCGCAAATTACTTAAAGCTGAACAATGTAAGCTATTGTATGCTAACTCAGGTCCAACGTTAATTACTTGCTAAGAAACCCTGAAGTCTCGTATTCGACTTCTTTTGAGGGTCATGATTGTGCACTACTGAGACGTTTCATACTAAAATGGAAAAGTTGCCTAATGCTTCTTTCATTTTCAATGATTGCTTAATTCATATGTAAAATTCATAATTTAAAAATTTCAACAAATCTCCCTACACTGATGGTTAAAGATCTCAATTTTCAGTTATTTAATTTAGGGTTCGAGCCTTACTCCTCCTGATACAGTCTTGTCACTTGAGAATTATCTGTACCCTGGTTGATGAGTCGATAATAGTCCAAGTAATAAATTTATAAAGTACGTAATATTTTTTGGTTTTATGCAAAGTTTTCACACTATTATACACCAATCGACCATCAATCGAAGTAATTGATTGTTCTCATTTTAATTACTTCTTTTTCTTTATTTGAATCTTTTATCAGAGTTCCACCCTATTTCTGGCATTCTTGTGATAACAGGCGTACAAGAACGTATTAATCAGGTATTTGAAGAAGGCATAAAACCTCTCCTACCAATTGAAGAAACATTCCCAGTTCCTCAGGAATTTCATCGTAATTTAATAGTTACTTCATCAGATACAACAACACGTGAGCAGTCACGTCGTTCATTGCGTGGCAATAATAATAGTAATATTAATAAACGGAATAATAATGTTTCTGAACAAGTGACAAATACAACTGCAGAAACTTTATCTAAAGCTATGGAAATTAAACAAAAGCATTCTGTATGTTTAATCTTTATTAAATCTCAAGTGTGTGAATTACTGAATAGTTCATTATTATATTTGCTTAGTCTTTGTTATTTCTGCGTTGCCTCTCTTAATGCACCTGTCGAATCTTTTATGTCCACAATTTTGCTGCTTTTATTTGACAATCGAGAACCACCTCAATTCTCATGAGGCAAAGTGAAAACACAAAAGACTAGTATAATGGAAATTTATTGGTTCTTTAAGAACACATACTTAATAATATCACATATAATGGGAAATACATAGAGTTACTGTTTTAAAAAAAGTCACACTGAATTAATATGGAGAACATAGTTGTCACACTGAACGAAAGTTCACATTGAATTGATACAAGAAATGTTAACCTTAGAACGTCACACTGAACAAAGTTCATACAGTATTTATACGAAAAATATAAATTTAAATAATGTCATCGTTTTATCTCGTCATATCAGTCTTCCATATTGATTGTATTCTATCGATCAAGTTGAACTGTGGCTGCTAGTTTAATTGACTTGATACTATATTCAGCATGTTTATTTTTGGTAGCTAGGAAGATCTGAACTTAGGTCAGCTACAATACGGTTGTGACAACGAGTGTTTGAATATCACAGAAAGTCTTCGTTTTCTGAAGTTTTCAGGTGCTGTTCACTTTCGTGTGTGTTTACTAACACCAATCTTAGATTCACGGTTTCGTGTTGATCTTTTCTAACCACCTAAAAAATGACTCCTTCTAATTTTCTAACGTTCATTCTATTATTATAGCACAAATAAAATGTCTGAGGTTATCGACCTGATAAATTGTTGACTGATCAAATGATTGGTTTTCGACTGAGTGATCATTGAGAAACAGAACCAGTGCCCAACATATTGAATACTCTATAAATGATTTAAATTTTTGTACAAGAAATATTCAGTCAAGGTGGTGTGACTATTTACATTATTCACTTTATCAGGTTAAGTAAACGATTGAATGAATAGTTCAAATGTGAAGATCTTAAACTCATCATTTGTAGTTCTGCTTGTCCTATCATATAATATAAATGAAGTACATGGTTGAATGAGTGTGATTAGATTCTTCCATTCAAATTGATAAAAAAATTTAGTAATTAGGTGTTAGACGATTTTCATTTTGTTTAAATGAGTCATTTTAATCAGCCTGTTTATTGTAAGTTGTATAGTGGAATTGTAGGTGGATTAAAAATTGCATGTCGCCATGAGAAACTACTTACACACATTGTTAGTAGTATCAACGAGCATCGATCCCAGTCTGTAGATAATTCTCATTATTATCTTATAGTATATAATCCATTGAATTTTGAAGATATTTTTATAAGGGAATGCTAAGTAATTTCAAAGGATATTTTCCAGTAGGTTATGATGAAAATTGTATTGCTTTAATGTAAACGTGTAGATATTCGCCACGGTCGTCTTTATACATTCTAATGTTGACATATTCAAACAAATAATTAGTATTTATAGATTCAGTTATCTTAATGTTTTTATTTTCTTATAGGTTAATATACGTCTGCCACCTCAACATACTTCTGGTTCCGACTACATTTTTTTACGTGGTACACCAGCGAATATAGAAGCAGCTAAAGCTGATCTAACCGAATGGTTACAACAATGTGAACTAATAAAAGCGGATAAAATTGCACGAAGTTATGAAACAGTTGTAGAATTTCCCTTTAGGTTCTTATCAAGTATTCTTAGCATGAGAGCTGATCTCTGCTCTAAACATGATGTTGGTATTCGTGTAGACACTGGTAGTAGTAGTAATAATAATAATAATAATAATAGTTCAGTAGTTCTAAAACCATTACCACCATCATTGTCGTCAATGCCAGAACATTCATCAGTTGACAACAATACTACTGACATCAGCGACGATATTACTTTCTGTAGTATTTCAAAGCCTACAATAGAAGACAATAGCAATAATGATAGTGACAATAATGAGAATGATGAATTATCATCGACAGGATTACCTAAAGAGAAACAAGCAAAAATTATTCTACGTGGTTATCAGGAAAATGTATCTGCAGCGAAAATTGAACTCGAGGACACTATTAACAAATTATTAGCTGAAGTCACTGAGAATTTATTCATTCCTGTAGAGGTAAATATTTGTGTGTTATATAGAAAATTTTTTGGTGATTGCTGTCTGATGCTAGAATATTAAAATTTCCAAGCGTATTATTGTTAAGAAGGGATCAGGTACTTATAAACCTTTTAGTTACACGTCCGAATCTCCTAACACCATCTATACTTAATATGGATAGTTTATTGTTAGTGATATCCATTAGTTCCATATAAAAAATCTCAGGGTAACATATTTTCACTTGTACCTGTAAAGTAATAATAAATAGATGTTGAAAATAAGCAACCCGACATGAATAATAACTATAGAAACTGATTATCAGCAGCCTATTCGGTCAGTTATGATTAATGTCGAGCTAGACACAGATGTGCTTTGGTCCAGATTGCCATACCGCATTAGCATGATGAGATGAAAGTAATCTATTGTATTACAGAAGAGATTGGAATGTTGTGGTAGAGATGACAATTAAAGAAAACTAAGCCGTAAGAGTATGGTTCGATAAGACATGGTGGGAAAGTATAAAGGGATATTGGAGTTCGAGTTCGAGAGGAAGATGTACGCATCTACGCCATTGTGAGCGATCCTGAACTATATCACCCAAAGTCAACAGAGACTGATCGCGGCTATTATGGGGACTACTTCAATCAGGTAGTTTAAACTAACCTATGCAACTGTTATATCCGCGATTTTCAACTGTTATATTGTTTTTATATGAAGTAAAAACACAAAATTCTGGTACAAGTGAAAATGTATTCACTGAAAAGCACAATAACCCTAGCCGAAAATACACCCATTTATATATTGATTTTTATATCCACTTGATTATTAATTAGAAAATGTCACATCTATGCAAAATACCAGAATTAGAACAAAATCACATTTTCAATGGTTAAGATCATGAATTTTGTTTATTGTGCTCATGTTCATGTTAATTTTATACAAAAACTATCATATTGGCTAGAAATCACACTGAAAATAAAGCGAATATGATTTTGAGCAGTTATCACCTAGAACTTTAGTTCATATTTATCATGTTGAACAAAGTTTGTACTGAATTGATTCAAGAATTATTGATGTTAATGATGTCATATTATTATCTTGTCATATCAACTGATCAGTCTAACAGTCAGTATCTGCATGGACTGATAACATGTCTTAGTTTGGTCATCCCTATCTTTCTTTGAACCTATTCCCACATCAGCAGACATTGTCTGTCTAGTTACACGGTGTCTAGGCTTACGTAACACATGTCCTAACTACCTCATTCGATGAAGATTCATCAACTCGCCAACTAATTTATCACTTTTTCCTAGTACTCTTCACCTAACATCAACATTACTCACTTCAAAGACACCTGCATTCAGAAACCTGTCGCTTACGCATGACTTCTACTTTCAAAGGTCATGTTTTACGCGGTCGAATCCGCCAGGGAGCACCAGTTCCCTCAAGATTGCAAGTGTCGATGAACACTAAAATCCTAGGTTCAGGGTTCCTTGTCGGCTACCTCCAACTACCTAATATTGTAAATTTGGAATGCTACAAAGTAATGAAAGTTTTATTTGCGTATATCCTTTAAAAAAAAATCTATTTTGACATTTAGACACATGCTCGACTGATCGGTGCTAGAGGTAATGCTATTCAGAAAGTCATGCGAGACTACAATGTACGCATTGAATTCCCTAGTAGACGAAATATCAATAGCGCCAATGGAGACGGTAATACAGTATTAGTAACGGGTGCACCAGAAGATGTTGATCAGGCATGTGATTATTTGATTTCCAAAGCAAATGAATTTGTAAGTTTAATTTTTCTGTCTTTTTTTATTGAAACATTTTACTCATGTCAGTCAACATGTGTGATTTTATGGAATTGAAAATTAATATTGATTTTTATGCTTTATTAATTCTGTAATAATGAAAGGAAATTTCTCGATAAATAACGTAAAAGAATGTTACTGATCAGCTAATACCCCATTTCATATAGTGTAGTCATATTATATTAATATCAAATTATGTTGAAAAGTGTTTATTTGTTCTTCAATTTCCCTTGGATTTCTATAGCTTAATAAACTATCTGAAATCAATCAGTCATATGCAACATAGAATCTGGCACGTATATATGTGTTGCCAAACTATGTTCGTAGAGAGAGAGAGAGAGAGATGGAATTATCTAGGTAAATCTCAGTGTAGTGGAAGTAATGACAGTATCAGTAATAGTAGACAAAGTTAGATAATGGTATTAGATTGCCTAGGTCATGACCTAGGCAAAGAGATACACTTTTTCTGTGCGCAAATTATATATATATATATATATATATATATATATATATATATATATATATATATATATATATGATTGGTCTTAGTTTCATGGGTCTTTTCTTCGAAGGGGAGTTGATGTATTTGTGTATGTGGGCTTTCTTTGCTTTATGTTTCATCCGTAGAATTCATGAATTCCACCTTGTCTCCCTCTTCTTCATGTTTGAATGTAACGTTTTCAGGTTAAATTATGGAATCCAGTTGTATTTTGCCTTGTTTTTAATCACTTTCGAATGAACTTCCGTTTTTACATTCATCATTAGTAACCACCGGCATTCATTTATTTTTTTATTTTGTGCAAAGAAGCTATTCTACTTAGCTTTGGCAGTCATTCATATATCTTTTTTTAAATCAGTTTTCTATGTAATGTGCCTAGTTAGTTTTATTCTTTTAGAATTAATTTTCGATATAAATAAGCAAATTTTGTAGTTTTGTGAAAATTTTATGCACCTCCAAGTTAGTTCTCATCATTAACTAACAGATGTCAAGATGGAATAATCATTGAAGATAACAAACGTTGTCATAGTCTCTGCAACTTCTACATCAGTGGTGCATCATCACACATCAACCTCCACACATGAGACCACAGCAGTAATCTTCATTTGCCATGTCCAACTCGGTGGACCAGTAAGGATATTGTATTGGAACCCATATGACTTCACATTTTACACTTCTATTGTTCTGTGATATACCACAATTTTCATTTCATATCATAAGGAATGCATAATTATCTAATTATCCACTAAGTTGACCATCTATAAAATCATGGCTTTTCATCAGAACATCGAAAAATTTATCTGTAAGTTTTTGTTCTAGGATTAGTCAATAACGTCCTGAACTACTACTACTTACTACCTTAGCTTTTTCTCAACAGTACTATAGGTAATGCCAATTTTTTGTGTGCAATAAAGATTACATTCAAATTATTACTTACTGTTAGCTTACAAAGATGGATTTAGCAAAGTTAACTAATATTTTGTTGTTAGTGCATACAAAGATTGTATTTTCTACTTACTATTTCTCTCTTTTTGATTGCATTTTCATAACGAATAAAGATTGCGCAAAGTGGTTTGTCCAATACTAGGCAACGATTGTTTGAAGAAGAAATTTAAACACCTATGTGGTTATTGGCGGCAATCTGTGCTGTTATTTTTCGTTTGTATACCCTGAACACGGAGTTGGATACATTCATTGTTATTGTTAGTTGTCGTCACACCATCTTTTTGTCTACACTCAATAAATAAATTGGTTTCCTTGGACAGGAATCACTAAATCACAAAAAAGTGTATTTTGTGCCTTAATCTTCTGATTTTTTTATTGATGAAATAAACCATTTATTTTTCACTTGATATATATATATTTATGTAATTGTGTCTGTTTGTTAGTTTTCTTGTCTTCGGCACCATCTCTCTCTTTCCTCCCTTTTTTCTTTGATAAAACCTGACCAATTTTTCTCACTATTCCCTCTATGTAATCGATCATTACACACATGAATAAGGTTTTGTTATTGCATGGACGATATTGTTATGTTCTCATCCACTATTTAATTGATTGCATATATGGATGATGAAATTACAAACTACAATAAAAATAAACAAACAAACAACTTTCTTTGTGCTCTGCGTGTGTTCATCTTTTTACTTCTCTATTCATTTATTATCAATCTAGAAAATTACATAACTAACTGATCAATTGGTAGTAAACCTGTACTAAAAAATTCACACGTACATACATGAATTTCTGTGAAGACAATGCGATATTTTGTTCCGTTGAGACTGTCGGTGTTTATTCTTTCCCGTACTGTTTTGATTTGCATTATAATATTACCCTCTCACTGTCTCTGATAAATACACTTTTCTTTCGAATCCCAATTAAAACAAAACAAAACAAATATTCACTAAAAAGAAAATGGTAATAAGGAATAAAACAAGATACTTTGGATGATTTTCTTTCTAAAAAAAAACGACCTTGAACAACAATAACAAAACGACAGCATGTGGAATCTGCCTCACTTTATTTAATTGCCTTTTTTCTTCAATAAATTTTTGTAGTGTATATTTTGATTTCTATTATATACCTCTATGCTTATTGTTCTGATACAAAGTGTGTGCTACTTATACGGACAGATGTAAGTAGTATGTATCAAGAATCGAAAGTAGGATTTTACTGACAACCTTTGAATTAATTTCAAGTTACTGATTCTGTACTGTTGTTCACCAATTACTGCTACCACTGCTATAACTTACTGGTAATAGAATAGATGGAACTTCCAACTGTAAAACAAGATGAACTAATTAGATGGTTGACTAATGCTTTTATCAGAAATTATGGAGTTAGTTAATTCAAAAGAAAATGAATTAGTATAAAGGTGGTAATCTTAGTAAAATATTTTTTCCCGCATAAAAACTTGATTAGTTCTTATTCATCATGTCATATGTGTTAACAGCTGTAATGATTGACTTCAATAGATTAAATGACAGCTACTATGGTATGTTTACAATTAGTTAATTACTGAGCATTGACCGATAGCATGGATGTCAAGTCTTTCTCAACGCTGATCGAATTTTATCGATCAAGTTATGATGTAGCTACTAGTTTAAGTGACTCTACATGCACTATATTGGAATGTTAGAGGGACTTGGCATTCATGATACTGGTCAATGCTCAGTGACCAATCAATTGTAAGTATATCTCAGTCCTACAGGAAGTTAGTCGTGATCCGAACAGGTTAGTGGTGGTCTCCGACCGTGAAGCATAGTTGTTGGGATATTCAGGAAAATATCCCAAGAATTATCCTGTTAAGCCTAATGTTATCCTTGGACATGAAATGGTATCATCTTATTGGTGAATATTTGTTTAACGTGTCATTTTCCTACTGGCCATTATTGTACAATGTTATTTCCTATTTTATCGTACGATGTGGTCTGCTTTACTGGTATATAAACAAAGTATGTTTGAAATACAATGATTCATATCTCCGAGGCTGTCACTTGTGTTCTGGACTCAACTGGCTGGGCTAGACAGGGAAGCTGGACCAATCAGAACCCTAGGTCGTTCTACGTGTTTGCGCGTCTTTGGTCCGATCAATAATTCCCTACCCTTAATCAGCATCATTTTCACGTTATAACAATAGTGGCAAGAAATCGAATTCTCCAGGAAGCACCAGTTTCTTCAAGATTGCAGATATATATATATATATATATATATATATATATATATATATATATATATATATATATATATATATAATTCAAATAGTATAGGGTTTCCTGTTGACTATTGCCAACCATCATCTAACAATGATTTTTGCCATAGTTAGTTTCCAATTTTTAACTGAGTGAATTTTCGGTACAGATATGCTTTGTCATTGTCTTTTTTAATAACAAAGGGGTTCTCCTACTTGAGATTTAAAAAGAAATTACAAACGAGACGTTCTTAATGAACCCTATTTATTTTAGTCAATCTTAGCTGGCTAATGTAATTAAATCTGTTCAATATTTGTTCTCAAGTTAACTATGCAACCTCGGTAGGTAACTTCTTGTTTATGCTCCGAATGAATTTTGTATAGAATCTTCTATTTTTTTCAGTTTTCCGTATATTATTCTAGTATCGAGACGTACTTATATAATTCATAAGATGACTGCTTGATTTTGAAGCCATTTTTCAACCAATGAGCAGAGCCTATGTAAATCGATAGTATTATGTAATGAAACTTGCTAAAAGTTCAGTAGTCTTTTAAAGTTTATTAACAGTTTTCCTATCTTAAGATTGGAAGGATTTCGCTGTGCCAATTTACTCACGCTAAAGATCTTTACGGATAGGTCGGTTCATATTGAGTTGGCAGTGAGTTATCATTATCGTAAACTCATTGATCATAAAGTCGCATGAGGTAGTCAACTTTGGTGAATGTCAATGGTTGTTATCAGTACAGATGACGACTGACTACAGGATCAAGAATAAGTTTTTAATGAAGCTAACTTGATTGAGGCTCAACTAACAGACACAAGATCTCAGTGAAGGCATATAATACCATATGAATATTGTGATACACAGGTGTTATTGTGGTCAGAATCATGACAGGGGGGTCAAGGTAGGATCAGTGGACTCGTGCAGCCGATGTTTGTTAAACTCTATATTTCAGTGGGGCCAAAGTTTCTACTAGTGACAATCAGTTTCACTTCGTAAATTGAGACCATCAGCTATCGGAACGAGTCTGCTACTACTTTTGTTAACGTGATACAGTATTCTTGCAAACATCTCGAAAGATTTCCGAATCTCATGGCTCTGATATTCGGCATGATATTTCGAACTTAATAAGAGAGTTTTTAGCATTCTCACTAATTACTGTTTTGAACTAATGGGATACAACGGTTGAATGGAAATATTTTTCGTTTCTGCTTGTAATATCACTATAATGCTAGAGTACGACCTAGGTTTCATGCTAGTTGGCACTTGTTTATCATTTTAATCAGCATAGCAAACAATTACCGGAGAAATTCTTAATCAATTTAAATATATTATCGATTCCAGAGTAACTTCATTCTGCATACTATTTTGTTGGATTGTAATCATTTGAATAAAATTAAATAACGATAGGAATAATGGGAGCATCCAATGTGAGAATAGGAAAGGTATATTTAATTTCTTTGTACAAAAGATTAAGGATGAAAGTTAGGGTTCCACTTAAAGGAGCACAAAAGAAAGACGATTTGGAGTTTTGTTTTTATTAGCTATCTTCAAGAAATTTTTCCAGGGCATCATCATCTGTAGGTAGTATAATTATATTTTCATTAGATATTGACAAATCTTTATCGTTTTTTAAGTTCGTACGAAGTACACTTTCCTGCTATAGGGAAATCGGAACAAAATTACAGAAAAATTTCAATCACACTAATGAATGTTAAAAATGTAACTCATTTATCAAATACGAGTTTGTGTAATCGACTTTAATCCACGCTTTTTTGAATGTAGATTCGAACCAGGAACCTATATTTAGAAAGCGGATAGCCCTAAACACTAAACCACTAATCAAGAAGAACATAAGATTAAAAAAAAGCCAGTTAAACATAATTTTATAACGTGGTGATCGACAACTTTGAGATTGTCAAGTTAACCACTATTATGATGATAATTAACTGTATCAATCATTCACTGAGTATGAATGACCAATATTGTGTTATATTCAGACTTCACTAATGATTAAATTTTGCCAGTGGCTTGAATAGTTGGTACTTAGTGATAACTGAAACATAAGATGATGCGGGGTTCGAGGTCTAAGAAGGTATCGGTTCACTCAGTGGTAGTGCACGAAAACTTTGCTGATGGATATTAACAAATGAGATACATACGTTAAAGTTGTTTCCCTCCAACGATATAGCTCAGTAAAATGATTGTAGTATTTTTTGTAACGGATTATAATAATGTGTTTCAAATTTCAGTGGAGCGGAGATGATCACATTAATAAGTATGAATGTCAAATAATTCATGGAATGCAAATCATGTACCAAGTTAGTATTAGGTAATACTATAATTCTCAATATCAAAGAATATATACAAGTCATGATAAGGATTAGATAATGTTTCCTAAAGCTTTATTAAAACATTTGAATAACTATTATCTATTCTCGCTATTACATATTATTAGCTTGATATTCCATGTAATATATATATATATATATATATATATATATATATATATATATATATATATATATCTTCAGTAAAAATTCACAAAAGTAACAAGTCACAAAGTGTATCTATCTGTATATGTGACCAAGTTTAATTTAATTTGTTCGTTAAAGTATACCAATATATGATCAAAAATCTTTTTGCGAAATTATAAATTGCATAACAATCGACAACAGGAAAATTACACTAAATTTAGAGGATAGAAAAAAAAAACAAAAACTGGAACAATTGAATATTTCCAGTTATCTTAAGTATTTGATCATTGATTTCAGTTAATCGATTAGCAGTTAAGAATACTTAAACAGAAAAATGTTGAGTTCAGATAGTAATCTAATGATGATGACGACAATAATATCAAAATATGGATTTATTTAGGTACATATGGAAATGAACTTACTTCGTCTGTGTTCTTATTTTGTCTAGACTCAGATTTTCTCAGTTGTCCTAGTGATTTATAAGGAAGAAAAGTAAAAATAAATAAATAGCATAGAAAAAAGATAAAATTTAACCAAATAAATTTAAGGACAGTAAGGTTCAGAAGTGAATAAAATCGATGACAACTGATAAATAATCATCATCAATTAGATGCGTATGTTGGGACTACCGAATGAGCAATATTGAGGTCAGATGTAGAGTACTAGGCGAAGATGGTAGACCATCTGGACGCACGAAGCTTTTCGATGTAGGAATAGGTTGGCATGAAACTAAAAACAACCAAATCAAGACGTTGGATCAGTTCATGAATTTGTCTTCATTAATCTGAAGCCTGTTGGAAGGTGCAAGGTCAATTATCATGGCCAATGGTTACAGATGTGGGGTAATACGACTCAAAATCAGTCACAAAAGCGTAGATTTATTCACTCCTTGTTTTACCTTATATCTTGAGTTTCAACTTTATTATATACAATCTATTTAGTGAATTCATTCTGCCCTTTTCAAGTAGTATTTTCTATGCTTGATCTTTTTTACAATCGCCTATACTAGTTCTTCTACATCGACACTCATTTTGCCGTTCTGATATGTTGTGGGAACTTGAGCCGATGGATATATGTGCCGGCTTATACGCTATGACTGATTAACTAGCAAATATAGTAAAGTAAGTAATGAGTATATGTAGTATTAACATGTTATTATGACCAATGAGAAAAGAAACACTTGTAGATAATAAATATCTAATTAGATTTTCCATATAATTGTTACGTAAAAATGAAAAAGAATTTTGCGTTCTATTTTGTGATGGGAACCTGAACTTGTAACAGATATAAGTATCAAAAAAGAATTAATGTTTGAACTATATTTATTATGTCTTTGTAAAACGGTTATCCACCACGGGCAATGGGAGCTGATCACGTCGATTGATCGGAGTTAGACATGAACACCACTGGATGAAAAATCAGTGGTTCAGAGGTTAAGTGCTCGACTTGAGACTGAAGATCCTGGGTTGATACAATAAAGACTTGACTCGAAAGTCTTACCACATGCTATGAAACTAAATTAATTCATGTTGAGGAAAAGAAATACTCAGATTATACCATCTTTCACGTACAACAACCGAGTTTTAAGAAAAGAAAATCATCACGGACTGAATATTATCAATTGCAATAACCATGGTCCTTCCAGTCTGGCCTAGATTGTCTAGACATTCTATATACTTATATTAGTTGTTGATTTGGTTGCTTCGAGACATCAGGCTTGTGACGTTCGCAGAATTTCGACTTTCACAATAAGGCATCATAACTCTTCTATGTGAAAGCCCTTCGATTCCCAGTGGAGAGTTTAAATGGTTCAAATGATGCTTTCTGGCTGGCGTTTTTAGCAAGGTTAATTTTTACAGGATGGGGTTGTTAACCTCATGCCCAACCTTCCTTCTTTATGAAGGCTCGGGACCGTCAGTAGCTCTATAAAGGCTACTTTATACATATGTGTTTTATTTCGAACCAAGAAGTCTTCAGAAGCAACCACAACAACAAAACCAGTTGAAATCACCGGTATATATACATAATTATTGTCAAATACCATACACATACATAAACAAGGCTAATTCGACTTTTAAAAAGTAAACATGTATAACAAGAAAATAAAAGGTGTAATTTACGAATATATAAAACTGACCAGAATTTTTCATCGTGCCATCTACAATTTTTAATTCGGAGCTATTGAACTGATTCGAATGATCCAAATTAACTTTTTTCCCATGAGAGTGACACTGTGTAGTCGACAATTTGAAGAATGATGTCAACAAAAAAAGAGAGTTCAAAAAAATGGCTTGATCAAAATGAATATAAATGAGAAAAATAGGGGAAATACATGGAAGCATTTTATTTTTCTTTAAATAAATTACGATACTAATTTAATCACAAAAAAAGATGAGATAAACGGTGATATAAATATTATGATAGCTAAGAATGACAACATTTTAAGCACTCATAATTATAGGAAAGACGAAGGTTAAGTGTGGACGAAACTATCTGCGTGATACACGTTCAGAACACCATTGCCAGCATCAGTTTCATCAAAATTACAGGTACTGTTTGTTGATAAATCCCAACTAATGTGGAGTTTAGATCAAAGATGTCCTTTTTAAAGGTTACTTCTACAGTTTTAACATCAAAAACATGGTGTATGCAATGTCTAACCATATTGCTACATTGTGACTCGATCGACTTAATTCGACAGAAGTACTAAGGAGTAACGATAATATAATATTGGCTACTAAAAATAGTGGTTAGTTAGTGTGACAGCCTGCTCAGCTAAATGATTGGTTGACTGACTCATTCATCACAGAATTCGATAAAATATGTTGTCACGCATCGTATCATCACACATAAAGGATAATAAATAATTCAAAGTTTAATTAGGTAAAAATAATATCAGCGCAACTGAATAAAAGTTGAAAATATGTATGCAGTGGAAATATCAATTGAATAGATTCCACTGAAACAAATGACTAAATGTGACAACAGTTAGCAAAGCAGATCATCAAGCAAACAAACGATAAACGATTTCTGAAAATGATTCAGTTCTAATAAATTAATGAGAGTAGAAGTGGTGACTTAATACTAAGACATTTGGCTTTCAATCACCAAGTCGAGGGTTCGAACCCCGTTTTACCTGTTTCAGGCTGTGTAACCAAGTAGTTTAACAACCCTCACACTTAGAGTGTGGTTCGAAGCCGAGTACAATAATTTGAACATTATTTAGCTCTTTCGATAAAGAATTATGTCCATGAATCATTCTAGCCTTACACATAGCATTTCACTGTGCCTGATTCGGTTTGGGCACCCGGGCAGTATCACAGCCCTCACACAAATCAAATGAGATTTGTGTGGCGCATATTTATTTGGTGCCTCTTTGTACCAATATCTATGTGTTCAAATAAATAAAAATAAAATAACTGTGTCTATCGATAATAATCAATATGTAATGTAAGTATGATACTAATCAATATCGTTCTGTCTATTTCGTTAGCACTAATTGGAATGCATTAATTTAGTCTAAATTTTAAAAAAAGTTGGTTACTAAACCAAACGTTGAATACATGAAGGAGATAGACAGAAAACTTTTATCATAAAACACCGTTTTCATACTTGTTCTAAGCGTAACTTCAACTGTAATTCATCCATTATTTCATGGGATAATTTTCTATTATTTTCGAAATGTAAATTATCATCATTAATATTAAAAACATTATTGTCATTATCACTACTCGGAGTAAACGTTGCATACGATCCCGTAGGTGATTCTGAATGATTATTATTAGTAATACTAATAGTATTGTTATTAAGATAATATATTTCATTATCAGCAGGATCAATTTCTTCACTGAATGCTATCACCATTGGATTCTGTTTCAACCTTGAGACAAAAATAATACGTATGTATATACAAATAAGTTATACAGAATAAACAACTGGTAAATTTTTGAAAACAAATAAAACGTAGTGCGCAATTTGATTAGTATAACATATGTAAAATTGGGTTGTTTGATTGCTTTTTTTTCTTTCTAATTGTTGGTTAATTATTTGTTCTTATTATGGATAGATAGAGACAAGCATCATCAACATTGGGAATAGAACAGAACAGTTTCCATATCATTGAATCAGCACAACAAAACGAATATCGTAAAAGAGATTGAAATAATGTAGTCCCAATAATAGGGAAAACCAAGCCTTTAGAATATGGTTTGAAAGGACAGGGTAGAAAGGTATTTATGAATGGTTTACTGGAATTCGCGACAGAGAGGAAGACACATTTGTGAACAAGTCTGAGCCATGTCATACAAAGTATTCAACCGCTGCTAGCTGTTCAACAGAAGTTATATCAATTTAAAGCTGACCGATTAAATATAACCAGGGGAAGAATCAAGAAGTAAGTTTTCAGCTTACCGATACTAGTCAACAAGTGATATTTCAAACCTTAAGGAGGCGATGGATGAAAATTCAGATCCATCAGACCTATACAATCCTTGAGTTAAAATAAGCTAGTTGGTCGGACGTGAATCATTTTACTCATTAGTCGTGAATCAGTATGACGATAAGTAGAGTTACAGAAGTATAGGTTAAAAGTTTTAATGTTTAACTTTTGTTCTTTCATTGTTATCTGATACTTGTGAGAACATTTTGTATGTCTTGATGATAGTTTTATTGATTTATAAGTAAGCTATTAGTTAGGTCATTTTAATAGTTATTTGTGTCTCCGAATAACTACCTATACAGGTGACCAATGTTGATTAAAAGACGTCCAGGAGTAATGGTCACATATCTTATGGTTAGAAAAGTTGAGTACTATTCCGTACGAAATCAATCAGAGTAGTACAGGTGCATTCGTTTTTTGTTTTCTACAGAGTCATAAGTTTAGTATCTCCGCATACTTCATATTTTTCGATTTTATTTATTAATTTCTAAATATATTTCAATGAACAGTATATATGATCCAACTGAGGATAGAACTCAGGACCTTCAGACATTAAGCTCAGCGCCTAACATTAAAACCACTGAGTTCAGATCCAATAGTTTACATTTCTAACTTCAATCAGTCCGCGATGCTGCACAACCGTCATCATGGTACGTTGTTATCACACATGTAATGTTCAAAGTTTATACAGAGTGACAAACAAAAAGCGACTACTGCGAGAGACGAAAAAAGCTGACATTAAAGGACGGTGTCTCCTTCTCCAAGAAAATCAATATTTATCTGTAGAATTATATTTATATATATATATATATATAACTTTACTAATAACTAGAACGAAATGAATCTATATATGATCCCATTAAAAAACAAATTCTGAGACGTACTGCTTTAAATTTTTTCAGCTACTAAATCAAGCTGTTATCTAAACTTTTAAATCATCAAAATCACTCGTTCTTGACACATATACGTACAGCTCAAGTTATCATTTGTAGATATCTTTCTGAAATGATACTTTAATGAATCAGCTTAACACATTTACCACGTGGAGATTAGTGTACTTGATTTTGAGTTAGACTCTAAGTGATATTACCCGGTTGCCTAAACTGAAGTAGGTGAAGGGGATAAGAACCCACGACTTAGTCGCTCAAAGTAGGATGATTTATGCCCTTAGCCTCCGTTGATGTGAATCTCTTGTCAATGTTAATTAGGAATTACGCCTAGTATTTATATTGTCATTATTATTATAATTTCTCTTCCTTTCTTTTTTTAATAGAGAAAAAGAAAAGAGAAGTAAAGAAATAAACTTACTGTTCATTGATTTCATTAGTCTTGTATTCATCTCTTTTCATATGAACATTAGTCTGATTATCATCAAAATTATTTTCATTATTCATATTGGATGGGTTGAAAGAAATCACTGTTGTTCTATTTGACTCAGTTAATTTAATTGGAAAGTTTACAGCTAAAAATAACAAACAAACAATAACATTGTTTTCATCAATAAGAAGAAACAGAACCTTTTTTTAAAAAAAAATTATGGTTTAGTGCAGTTGATGTTTTGAAATCTTTAGAAAAAAATATAAGATTTTGTAGATACTGCTACTAAGATTGAACACTTAGGTAATTTGCATCAGGATAATAGGTTGTCAACAATATAATAAGTTTAAAAATTCATTGTACTTACTACATTCAGATTTTATTATTACTAATAATGATAACAATATTACACTTGTTGTAAAATTTAGTCAACTCAGTAGCTACATGGATAAAGTGTTAGGTATTTGAAGTCAACAATAACAGATTTGAGTCCCGGTGTGAACATCAACACTGGAAAAGATGTACATCCAGTTGACGAGTTCCAAATAAAATGAAACACTTGTCCTATCATTAATAATCCATCTATTCTATTATTAATAATATTCAACACTTTTAATTGGATTCATATGAACATTACTCATTATAGAAATTATTTGAAGCAAATGATAAATCTTTGGTAGATTGATACATTTAATTTGAGGCGATAAAATAATCACTGTCATTCCTTATTTATATGAGTTGCATAAATTTATGTGACAGAAAGAAACAGTTGTTCAATATGTTGCCTGACTCTTAGACATGATTAAACTGCTATACATATCAAGTTAATGCGGTGGCAAATGAATTATCATTTTAAAAATTCAAGATTTCACTTCATAAACATATTCATTTACTTTTAAACTGAATATTATTTGTAAAAGAATAAGTCGTGGAGTGGTGCCTCAGTAGTTAATGTTCTATTTTCAACTAATAAAACACAGTTTCAAGCCCCACCTCACTAACTTCAGTTCGGATAACTAAGTATAGTATCACCAACCTTCACTAGTAGCCAGATACACAAACCTATACCCGATAGACGAGTTGATTAATAGGGAAGAATAAATCACTCAAAGATCACCACAGAAAGTGTATTACTAATACTACTACTCAATGGTAGTTATTGTTAAAAATAATATCATAAATTGTTCCTTTCATAGAGTTTTTAAGAATATGGGATGATTAAACACATTCGGTATGTATGAGCAGTGGGTACTTAATGGTTGAAGTATTCAGCCGCTACGTCCCTGGTTCGAAACCCACTGCATATACTTCAGTTTGGGCAACGAGGAAGTGTTATTAGTCCTTATTAATTACTCAGAGTGTGGCCCATAACCAAATATCTAGTAAGTGAGTTAGCATAAATTTGCTATGTAGGACTAAGTTTATAAAGAAGTTAAGCTAGTTCACCCAGTTATGAGTAACTGCTTATTTTAATCGTATTAGGAGGTATATACTTTCCAAGTTGGAATCTTGAAATTGATAGGAATTAGTGGTTGGAAATCCGAGGTGATATAACACAGAACCGATCATATAACGATGTGAATCTAAATTCGCTTATCTTAGATTGAAGTTTTGAAGACCTTTTATAACTCTCATTTTATACATATTCTTTTCTTCACTTGAGAATTTTATGTTTGATTGTTCTTGTATATAGTCTTTTGTGTTTACACTATGTACGACCGGCGATTTGAACCTATGCACCTTTATACGAGTTTTACAATGATGTATACTTGTTTTATAAGCAGATTTGGATAGCGGCTAGCGGTGGGATCCAAGATGAGTGTTTCGTTCAAGTATATCGGAAGCCGACCGACACAGATCAAATTCTCAATTGAAGTAGCAACAACCCAAGAGCTCACAAGATCAACTGCGTACAAACTTTGTTCAAGAGGGCGAGGACACAATGCAACACACTTGCAGCACGAAAAAAGTGAAGAAAAATACCTGGAGACCATCTTTCAAAAGAACGGCCACCCAATCAAATTCATCAAAAAAACAAGCCAAACGCATCATCAGAAACGAAGTCAAGTACAGAAAGCAACAAACGGATCACCCTACCATATATATATATATATAAGGCATATCAGAAACTACGAGATTGTTGAAGCCTTTCGGAATAGGTGTAGCACACAAACCAACAAAATCAATACAATCAATCAAGCACATTGAAATCGATCTAATTTATCAACCAATCAGAGAAATTATGGACAAACATAGGACCAAAAATCAAACCAATGGGAGATACAACCAGAATAAAGAAGTAAACAAAGACAAGTTTAAGGTCAACAAGAATCAATCAACATCGAGGTCTACAGGATAAGTTGTGAGCCATATGTGGAGGAATTCGAACACTTCACTTCGACCTGAATTTTGTGCTGATGATGTCGTTCAGAAGAACGATGAAAGCTCCACCACCATACCATCCAGCTCAGAGAACAAACTCTATCAAGATCATCTATCTGAACTTTAATGCAATCTATGAATTGGCTTGAATTAATAATTCTACGTCGTTGAATTTCAAATTAACTAATCGAATATTTATCATTTATGTCGCAATGCAATGAAAAAGAAACAAGTAATTTGGAATGACCTATAGGAAGAGTAGGGAATAGTGTTAGTGATTACAAAAATCAAAACTCAATAGGAAAATACGTAACAATACGCATTTATTGAACTATGGCGTCATGCGAGTTAAAATTCTAGTTGAACATACACATGACACTTATTACAAGCAAAGAATATCAAAGATAGAAGCAGTAAAGAATTAGGTAGAATAGTTGATAGTCTATTTAAAAGACAATATGGAATATACTACTTTTTTTCTAATCAAAATGTGATTAACTTGCCATTCTCTTTTATCACAGAAAAAGAAAAAGAACACGTTCGTGATGATGACGATTCATCAGTTGTTCTCTTCTGACCAGAATCGATATAACTAAAACTGATAAAATAAAAGAATTTCTTATATATCGCTACTTCTCCCAATATTTCATGAAAGTGAACACAATAATTAACCATACTAAAATAAAGAAAAAAAACTAATACAAGAAAGACTGAATTCAAACAAGCTCTATTGATTAAACTGTAAAATCCACTTATAATTATCAACCTATACTAACGTTACATATCATACTAACTGATACTCCCCATTTAAGAGAGGTGTACCACTTAAACTAACTAACGTTGACATTTAATGACTTGATAGATAGATATCATTTGTCGTAATCTACTTAAGTATATTTATGCCGGTTGTTAGTTATTTTACATGTATAACACATATTTTAGTCTTCTTGAATAGTGTAGATTTACAAAGTTATTTACTATATAGAAATTTGGATCTAACGTTAGAAGTTGCTCACTTATAAGTTGTATCATGCTGAATCAGTACTTAGAAGATATTCAAAATTCAGTCAGTTTATCTTCAAAGATTATAACTCAAAAGTATAGGGCAGATCAGACGGGATTAGAATATAGTATACTCACTGAAGAATATCTAGAGTTTGAATCAGAAAACGTGCAACTTCCTGATATTTAAACGAATCATGTCTTAAATTCTATGATAACTCACAACCAAATAATAAAAATGTTGATTTATTCATTATGCATGATAGATAGAATCGTAACAGGCATGTTGAAATACAAAAAGTCAGTTAAATCTAAGATAGTTACCTTTAATCAATAATGCTTAATCAATTGATTTTAAACATTTATTATATACAATCATCAAATGTCACAATAGAATAGAGTGTTTGACAATTGAATACTTATATTAATTAAAACACCATTATATATATGTGAAAAGAAAGTAACTTCAGTACACCTGTCTATTAGTATTATCTTAATAATACAGTAAAACAAAAGAACAGGAAGAATGTACAATATTTAATTGAATATTAACAATAGGTCAAACCTACTAAGTTATTTACATAAACTTAATCAGTTAAAATAAAAATAGAGAGCGAAAAAATATTTTTATCACTTTGAGTTGTCATACTATCTCAGTAAAATAGATATGAAATTATCAAGACAGTAATAACAGTATTGATAATGATAGAAAAGATTAGGCATAAAAAATATGGTTTGAGAAGACAGAATGAAATTATGGGACAGAAAAGTATAAGATGTAGGAGCAGACAGAAAGTGAATACGTCTGCGCCATCGCGACAGACTTTCAAACATGTCATCTACAGTCTCCAACCGTTGGCTAGCCACCAAACACCCTGGTACGGTTGAGGGTAGAGAGAGTCCGCTCTCCCTCTCCAAATGCTCTCACACGCGTATACAGCCACTGTCAGGGAAGTTCTACTCACTGCCTTCTCCTGGCATTACTGTTGCTTAAGAAATCGAGAGGACGAAAAGTGATTGTCCGGCGCTTTAATAGAATTGGAGGATATGGAGGATCTATTTAGGGGAGTTGGAAACCCTGATTCTAAATCAGTGGTGCATAAGAGCTCCATGATCCTGAAAAAACAAATGTAGTATGAACCTGTTCATGGTCACCGTCTATCAGGGGACTGCATTTTCTAGGTATTACACCACAACCTTATGGATTAGACCTATCGGTCGAAGTGTGCGGAGTAGTTCACTAGGGAAAACTCCTGTTTCGGTTAATGTGCCGAGTGGTACCACAACCCTCAAATAAGTCCCATGCTGGAGTGGCACACATATATCTGGTGCCTCATTGTACCAGTGTTTATATGCTTAATTAAATAAAATTGGCTACGATAATCAAGCGAACCCCAAACAGATAGCCTCCACCAACCAACATGGCTCAGATCAACAGTCAATGACCTTGTGGTGGACCAGACAAATATGAACGCAAAAAAGTGTTAACCAAGTTATAAAGAGTAAATTATAATGTTAATAGTTATTAATACAACATAAAAATATGGACTTTACTTAAATTCACCAAGTGTTGCGTGTTCTGATTGGGTCTGGTATTGTAAATCCACAATCATAAATATTCGATAATTCCGTACAGGTTGCTGAACTCTCCAATAATGTAACCCACTGTTATGTGCGATATGTCTCAGCTCACAGTGGATAATATTCGATTTAGGATGTAATTAGCTCAATAACAAGTGAGAGTAGAACAAGGAATGTGTGTGTAGCAGTGTATTTGTGAACAACCACAAGTGTGTCAGGCTATGTAGTTACACAACGGAAAGTGAGTTCAAGGTCATTTACTACAACAACAGTTACAGTCATTTAATGATAAATATACATACAGTGAAAGATTGACAAAATAAATACAAATAATACTAAAACTATTTACAAAATAAGCTTGTCAGACCTATCTCCAAGCAAGTTGCAAGTGGCTAAAAGAGAGTTCGAACATATGATGCAACTTGGTATTATTAGACCGTCTAACAGCCCGTGGGCGTCGCCACTACATATGGTACCAAAGAAAAATCAAGATTGGCGTCCATGTTGGGACTATCGCCGACTAAACAACCAAACCATTCCCGATAAGTATCCCATTCCGCATATACACGATTTTTCATTAAATCTACACGGCAAATGCATCTTTTCAAAACTTGACCTAGTACGAGCATACCACCAAACGGCTAAGTAGATAGCAAGTAACTCCCGTCCAAAAGTAATGTAGCGTTCCTGAGCTGGTGACAGTCTCTTGGAGAAAAACGCTACGGGAGTAGTCATGTTATTTACCTGTTGTTGCAATACTACCACGACAACTTTCTGTGAGGCATCCGTACATAGGATCAAATGGGTTGTGGGGTCAGTATTGAGGTGTTGTAACATGGTGGCGTTGGCTACCAAGGACTTTGCTTTCTCAAATGCCGTTTTGGCGTCCGGAGGTAGCTTGAAAGTTTGATTCTTTTCCCTCCTCGTACCTTTTTTGTCACCTTTCAGTAAATCAGTTAACGGCTGTAACACATCCGCACAACATGGTAGGAATCGGCGATAGAAATTGCACGTCCAGAGAAAACGGCGTAATGACTTTATGCAGGTTGGTTCAGGGTAATTGGTGATAGCTTCAATTTTTTTGGGAGTGGTTTGATGCCTTGAGAGTCAATGTAATGTCCTAAAAACTCTAAGGCTGGGACTGCGAATATACATTTCGAAGGATTAATGACAACACCTTGTTTTTTAAAGCGATCAAAGAGGATCTGTACATATTGAACGTGTTTTTCTAATGATGCACTTGCAATCAAAACATCATCTATTTAAATGAAAACGAAATCTAGACCTCTTGTAACGTTTACCATGAAGCGTTGAAATGTCTGAGCAGCATTTTTCAGTCCGAATGGCATCCTTAGAAACTCAAACAAACCAAAAGGTGTGATTATGGCTGTTTATTCAACGTCTTCCGGTGCTATTGGGATTGCAACAACAGGTAAATAACATGACTACTCTCGTAGCGTTTTTCTCCAAGAGACTGTCACCAGCTCAGGAACGCTACATTACTTTTGGACGGGAGTTACTTGCTATCTACTTAGCCGTTTGGTGGTATGCTCGTACTAGGTCAAGTTTTGAAAAGATGCATTTGCCGTGTAGATTTAATGAAAAATCGTGTATATGCGGAATGGGATACTTATCGGGAATGGTTTGGTTGTTTAGTCGGCGATAGTCCCAACATGGACGCCAATCTTGATTTTTCTTTGGTACCATATGTAGTGGCGACGCCCACGGGCTGTTAGACGGTCTAATAATACCAAGTTGCATCATATGTTCGAACTCTCTTTTAGCCACTTGCAACTTGCTTGGAGATAGGTCTGACAAGCTTATTTTGTAAATAGTTTTTAGTATTATTTGTATTTATTTTGTCAATCTTTCACTGTATGTATATTTATCATTAAATGACTGTAACTGTTGTTGTAGTAAATGACCTTGAACTCACTTTCCGTTGTGTAACTACATAGCCTGACACACTTGTGGTTGTTCACAAATACACTGCTACACACACATTCCTTGTTCTACTCTCACTTGTTATTGAGCTAATTACATCCTAAATCGAATATTATCCACTGTGAGCTGAGACATATCGCACATAACAGTGGGTTACATTATTGGAGAGTTCAACAACCTGCTGTAGTGGCACACATATATCTGGTGCCTCATTGTACCAGTGTTTATATGCTTAAATAAATAAAATTGGCTACGATAATCAAGCGGACCCCAACCAGATAGCCTCCACCTACCAACATGGCTCAGATCAATAGTCAGTGACCTTATTGACTCGTTCCATTTCGTGATTTGACCGCCCCTAAAAGACTCATAGCAGACTAGGAGAAACTAATGAGCAAACTAGTCCATACATTAGGATCAAGTAAATTCAATTCTATAGTCTAATGATAATGCATTCAGCTCTCGAGGCCTCATGGTAATACTGAGCTCGATTCGTCTCAGAGAGTCATGAACTCGTACTGCTAAAGTTCCAAATAATAATAACGCACTTATCTAGTAGCACTCCGGTTTTTGATGGTTAATCCGTGATAGAAATTCATTTTCCTAATCCACGCATCAATTAAAGAATAGGACGTTACACCATACAAAACAAGTATTAAGATATTGCCATCTAGAATTCAGTGTAACCAGCTTTTATAAGCAAAATTATGATGATTTATGAATTCGTTCGTAAATGGGAAGAAATAGGAAGATTGCAACTGTGGTAGTTAGTTGGCGTATTTTATAGAGAAAAAAATATTGCTTTCTCGTTTCATAATAGACGATTTCCTGTCTATTTAGAAAAAAAACTGAATAAAGAAAGTGAAGTCACATACATACATATACACAATTTCAAAAGAAAATAAACATAGAAAGGTGAAGTAAAAAACAAACAAACAAACGAACGGGGCTAAATTTCTTTAATTTGCTTGTGTATGTACGTCAAGTGTTTTTTTTGTGAAGAATAAAACAACTAATTTTTAAGAGAGCAACAACAATAAGAAAATTGATTTTATTAAACTCTATTGAAATTGTCCACCTTATTCCTCCTTTTTTTTAAAACGTTCAATGTGTTTAATGAAATTTCAAAAGTGGAAAAACAAAACACAACAATACCTCTAATTTAGGATAGTGTATATGTACGTATGTGTTTGTATTGTCGACACGTAGTATTAATAGCAATCTATTGAAATGTAAATGTAAGCGTACATAGTACTGAAAACAGTGTTGTTGATATTGACTATTGTATTGTTTTTCATTTGGTTGGTAAAAAGTTATTGACTAGTGACAACTATAACGAAACCTTGGTCGAGTAGGATTTCTTCCCGACTACTTCTAACCACTCAATATAAAATACCGTTACGTTGCATAATTTGCTTCATGAAGTTAATACTTAAAATATTTTAGGGAAACTGCTTCATAATGCTCAAAGGCTGTTAAACATAGCTTAAGAAAGTAATAACCATACATAAGTTTCATGTTTTTGATCACAGGTACCTTCGAACTATTGTTCGCCTTAAGTGAGAAATGCTGAGATTGGTTGTACGATACTAGGTAATGGTTTTCAATTTCCATTGATTGCGGTGGATGTCTACTACGCATACTCTGACAAGTTATTTATAATTGACTAACTAAATGATATTGAAATACCGTAAGAAGATAAAACATATTAAAGAAGTTGAAGGTATTTTTCTCAAGATTCCCTTGAAATCATATTACTATACTGAGAAAAACAGATGAGCTTGTGGTCTTCAAAATAGAGGATATTCCTAGATTACGAATATACTGGCTACAGATGCCTTCGACGCACTGCTTGTATATGTTTGGGATCACAGAGTGAGCAAAACTGAAGTTAGACCCAGGGTACTACTAGGTAGGGATGGAGAATTGGTTGATGAGTAAATGAATCTTCACCGAACGAGGCGGTTGGTATATACACTACATATATTTGACGACTGCCTACTTCTCGAATTATATCTTCTATACCTAATCTTGGCTACTATCACTGATACTAATACTACTTATATTACTCTAGTATCTCGATGTGTTGTGGCAACTTGAACCGATGTATACATATGTTAAAAACTATATTGTGTATAACTACCTGACTGAGGCTGACAGAGAAAATCATATTACTCCATCAAAAAAATAAAAATTAACACTTACCGTTGTTCTGGTGTCTGATTATCAGTTTTTGGACTTAACTCATATAAAACATGAATCATTTCATCATAATTACGTTTCAATTGATATTGTAATACATCACGTTGTAGACATAAAAATGGTATATTCAGGAATTTATACACATACATCAAACCTAAACCGGTTTTCATTGAAGATTCACAATATTGTACGGGGATAGAGCGAATCGGATTTGATGATGAACTCCTACAAAAATAAATAATATATATATGATGAAAAGAATTTTATTAGACATACAAAATTAGCAATACAAACCAAGACTTATTATAAAAAATACCGATTAATTACCTAGATAGTTAGTAATTCAGCACTAACAATCCACTTAGCACAAGAGCTTAGTGAAGAGAGTTGAAATATCATTGGAAGCGTTACTTTCATTGGAATTTTAAATACACATTGCTGAAAGAGGTAAGTTTAATTAGTTTTCACTATCAACTGACAAGTCGATTGAACAACTATTAAAGACCATATGATGATATTGGACAGTTGTTGTTTCGACCTAACAGTTTGAAGCTATGAAACGGTAACAAAGATTTGAGCTCCTAAGACATTCATGGTACGAGGGAATAGACTAAAGTTAGAAATGTGAACCATCGTGATATTCTTACAGTTACTTATCCTATCAGATGATGGCACCCTGCAACAGTTTAATTAATAGGTAGTATGGTTGGTAATGTATAAATTCAGTGTATAAAAGTTAGCCAGTACTATGTTACTTTAATCATATTAAACTTACAAAAAAGTTAGTATGATTCATCCTTGTTGTAACTGGGTAGGGAGGTTGGTGAATAAACCCTTAAGTTTTACAACTTAGTGACCAAGTACAAGTTTGAACATTCAGTTACAAACCATACTCTTTGTATAAAGGCTGATGATATTATGCATCTATTCGAATCAAGAATATAGGGATGAGATCTGAATCTACAACTCTGTGGTTAAAAACCATGTGCCTTTACGATTAAATCACTGTTTACATTAAATAAAACATTAGGCAATTTAAATTTTATTAAGAATTCGACAAAAGAAAAATCTTACATGAAGGATCGGTTCACACTGTTTTATTACACATGTCTTGTTTCGGATTGAAATAAAACAGTATTTAAACCATCGTTCCTACAGCTAAAAATTTCAGTTTAAAGAATATTTGTTAAAAAAACGAATTTTCTTCATTTTACACCAAACGACTTATTGGAAGAACTGATTAACTAGTTAAAATATATCATAGCATAACAATAAATTCAAAAATGTTAATCTATTGAATTGGGACTCAGTTATATAAAGGGATAGTATCCACAAAACTAAAAGCATGAGACTGTGAGTTTGATTCCCGCTATTATCTTGGGTTCCTAAAACACACAAGGGAATCCCCGAAATCTAGTACGAAACATTTATTTACTGCGACCTCCTCCATATTACTTAACAGTACTCCTCAATCGACAACGGGTTTAAAGATTGCCACAACTCTATTTTCGTCTGTGCTAGAGATATATCACTATGTTAGGTGGCTGGAGGTGATAGGCAGGAAACCCTGCTCGACTTAGGTCTCGTGTTAGTTATAATTTATCAGTAAAATACACCTACAATCTTTAGGGAACCTACACTCCCTGATGGATTTACACACGAGTTGCCCAGTTTCAAAGTCTGATATGTTACGACTGTGGTATTTGGTTTAGACTAAGACTAACCTCTTGCAATAATGAGATATTTACTATTAGTTGATTAATCGATAAATATATCACATTATTTAAACTAAGCTTCCACATAGAACAAAAAACTTATATCACGACAGAGAAAGACCAAAGTTCGGATGATGAAAAATAGTTTGACATATTATTCAGTAAATTTTATTATTATTACTAATATCATTATTACACATATTTTTTAATGAAAGGACAATATAACGAGTATTGACTATAATAGTGACATTATGGAGCAATACGATTGATGCGTATATAATGATGTTTTTAATAACATCAAATTATATTGGTTTCATTCAGATTCAAAATTTAGTGCAAATCAATATTCAAGATTGTTTTGTGCAGAAGTCTGATGTAATATGTAGGCCATACATAATCCATAGACTAATAATATTATTATCGTACTATAATGATCAATAATCAAGTCTGAATGTATTACATATAATAATAATAATAATACCAGTAAATGGTTAAGGTGAATCATTGATGGAAAAGTACAGTTTACCAGTATAAAGTTGATTGAAAACAATTAAACGGACAGAATAAAAATACAACAAATTATTGGTAAACTAGTATTATATTGTAAGTGGAACTCTGTAAGTAGTACGCATGTAAGCATCAGTTATAAATAATAATAATAATAATAATAATAATAATAATAATAATAATAATAATAATAATAATAATGACAGCTCCGTATATTGCGTAAAAACATGTAGCTCTATGTTAACCTTGTAAGAAGTGTACAAAATAATGATTTACAATGCACATCCAAGAACCTTAAACAACCAATTTGTTTACAAGAACTATGTTAAGTGTATGCTGTGCGAAAAATGAAACACTTAAGTTACATAATTAGGGCATTTCGATGATATTTTCATAACCAAAGAGTGGTATTTCGATTAAGTAAATCTTTTATCAGAATTTAGTCTATAGTATTGTACCATAATTGTTATGCCTCAAAAGGGGGCGCCGATTATATGACAGTGACTTATCGATCGGATCAAGGATTCAGAATCTCGATAGACTATTCTGGTCCGTTGTCCCCAACTCTGCTAACTCGATCAAAAAGTCTGGGTAAGGTGTAGAAAGTGTATTCTACAGACAAACAGCAGATAACAAGTCAAGTCAAGCACACAAATCAAGCGTATTTATACAAATATTTACAATCGATATTGTCATGGAAGATTTTTGAACATTAATCAACAATTGACTGCTATTTGAACATTTAATCGATAGTTCATCAATTGACCTATCTGCACATTTAATCGATAAGTAAATTACAAAATTTGAGTTTTGGGGATCTATCGTCCCCAACAATAATACACATAGTTCCCTTTATTATCTTGAAGAGAGCAGGAAAAAAGATTTGAGCGCGAGACCGAAGGTCCTGGGTTCGAGTCCCCCGTGCGGGATCGTGGATGAATATTGCTGAGAAGTCCCACACTACGAAATGGTCACTCAGCGCTTCCAGGTTTGTAATGGTGGATTAACGTTGATCGATTCACGATCTCAATCAAAAACTCAACAATCACCACAACCCCATACTAATAACGAATTTATTCTTTATAGTTAAGTTCTCGTCAGTTGCTTACAACCTGAAATGTTTAAAAATCGAAACTTTAAGGTGATTTATAGATAGCTAAACACCAAATTTCTAAAGTTTACTGAAGTGGTTGTTACCTGGCATCATAAATCTGATAAAGTAATAATTTATTAAACTTTATCTGTCTTTGTAATATCAACTCTATTACGTTACACCATGAAATGATTTTTAATTATTTCTCACAATCGGAAGTATGGTTGCATTGCGATTTTTCAACTTTTCTTCTATTTCAGTAATTCCATTTTTTAACTATAACTGAGCTTTACTCATTTAATTCTCATTTATTCATCATGTAACCGTTTGTTTCGGCGCGAGACTGATAGGTCCTGGGTTCGAATCCCGAGGCAGGGTCGTGAATGTGCATTGCTGAGGAGTCCCACAATAGGACGAGACGGCCGTCCAGTACTTCCAGGTTTTCCATGGTGGTCTAGCTTCAATTGACTCATGATCTCAACTGTCTAAATTACTACAATCTCCACAAACCCCCTCCTGATAAATTTATTTGTTATACAATTATTTAGCCTCCCAAATCTGCTTAAATCTTGATTATACTATGCTGATATGTGTTTAAAACAAATTCCGAACAAATTCATTTGTATGAATATTTTTAACTAGCCTTGTAATTTTAATTTTTTTTTTGAAACATTACATGTTGTGAGTAGCTGAAGACAGTCTGACGAAATAAAATGAATTCATGTTCCACTCGAATTTTTATATTTGTTCTTTTGTGGTATTGTATTAATTATATTGTGTTAGCATTAGTTACCGTCCTGTTAGGGAGTTCTGGGTACATAAATATATCAAAATGGAGATTTGTGGAGATGTTTTAGAGGTGAGTCAATCGCTTCTTAAGCGACAAACAAATGTGAAACAGTACAGTTCTTTTAATAATGTCGTATATCTTACATGAATATATCTTAGAGATGTTTTTATCAATATTTATAATCATTAGATAACAAATTTCCACCTTTTTATCATTATAATGTATGATATAATGCTTTTAAACTGTTGTTCGTATGTAACTTGAATAGACATTTTTTTCAGTTTTATTTACTTGTCACATTCTACTTGAAATTCGACAATTTTCATTAAACAGGGAACACTAATTAGAACGTAAAAAAAGATAGTGATATTTCAGTGAAGAGATCTCTTTTTAGGCTGTACAGTCACAGGCGGATAACTGTTACACCGGATATGGAATGAACTCTCAATATAGTACCGAAGAAACAAAAATGAACAAAAAAAACGTTACTCTTATTAATTAAATGGCTCTAAACAGAGTTAAAAAATTTATACACAAATGTATCAGGAACTCAATACAAGGAGTGGTTCAAGAATGACAGTGACTAAAAATAGATCCCTTGGCTGAATCACTTGTTCACTCTTTTTCTCGGTCCTATTATCCGTCCCCTAGTTTAACTTATCAGAACATTTCCTTAAGCTACCTACCTACCTATATGAATTGTTACAAAATACTGTAAATAACTATGCTTTATTCTAATTGTGTCTTTCGAACATTTTTTTTCTCATCCGTATGGTTACGTGTGTGCATAGTAAATAGGTCAGCTAGAACATTCTTCATATTTTAGTTTGGTTCCGTCCCTTCTTTATCAGTTTTTTCCCTCTCTAAAATACTACTACTACTATTAATAATCATAATTGTGATAGTGACGCACTAAGCAAATAATTGATTGAACTTGACATTTATTACTGCCATATATTTACTGTCCAAAAATCTGATTCGAGTACAACATATAACAACAACGTTATTGTGAAAAGTAAAAGCTGAATTGTTCATATTAGATTGTTCAATAGATCATGAACTAGAATATATATCTCTACTACTTGTCTTAAGTTAGTTTAGAAACATTTCCTAAAATACC